CACATGGTCAGTGTGTGATCTGTCATCTAAACATCCTCTGGATGTTTCAACTGAACGCATTACTACAGCGAAAGCTCCACTGCTGCTAACCTTCCTCAAGGTGCTCCCCCTTGCTCTGAGCACATTTGCTCCGTCTATTTCGCAACTTTTCGCAGCTGCTCTGGAGTCCTCCTTCCTGAGCGTCTGTAGTTGTGCTGTCTTGGCTGCCTTGGTGTCCTGAACTGATTCAAAACGTTTCCCTTTCATGGTCACTTCGACTTTGGAGGAAAGCCGGAAGTTGTACAGGGCAGATCTGGTGAGTAAGGACACACCGAGCTTTGACGAGCATGCCTTTAGGGGTTGGATGGCACTCAGCAGTAGCGTTCACTGCGTCTTTGGATCACGACCTGTAAAGACAAGAGGGCTCCAGAGCTGCTTCACAAAGTGGCAAGAGCAGTTCGAAGCCAGGGGCGTATTGTGAGGAGGATTTATGGCCATGTGTCTTTTACTATAATACATTTCTAAGATGTAAACATTCACCATGGATGCTGATCCCCTCCCGTAGCTGAACCATAAAGCTGTGACTGCTGGGCATGGTGGCGCACACCTGTAGTCGCCATACTTGGGAGGCTGAGGCAGGAGGATTGCTGTGAGTTTTAGGCCAGCCTGGGCTACCAAGTGAGTTCAAGGCCAGCCTGAACTGCATAGCGAGACCTTGTCTCAAAAACAACAACAACAACAACAAAAAAACAACAAACCAAAGAAACAGAAATCTCAGTTTTATGAAAATCAACCAAATTATGTATTGTTTGGAATTTCATGTTGTGTACTCTGATGATTTTATGAGCTAAGTGTAAAGCTGGGGGACACATGCTAGTATTCTAACCTTTTTTTATTTTTATTTTCTCTCTTTATGATCTCTGCCCGCCATGCTGAGTGATTTGGGGAGATGGCCAGTGATGCAATATAGCCAATATTTCTTTCCTTCAGGAAGTCTCTTAACCACCATCCAGTGGCTGAGTCACCCCCGCAGCAGTGACTTCTCATAGACTCTCTAAACCCCACCATACTAACTCTTCAGCTAGGTATTCTTCTCCCCTTTCTGACCACAAGACACATTTTCAACAAGGGGTTCATTTCCTTCCTGAATTTCACGTTGTATAACTGTTTACATGTTCCAGACACTTTTGATCTCAGCTGAAATGGCTCCAGATCAGGATTCTGAGTGCTTTAATTTTAAAGCAGCTTAAAAGTAGAAATGAAAAAGAGAGAGAGAGGAAAAAATGGGAGGCGTTAAAACACTGGAAGAACTGACTGCTTCTAGACCTAAGAAGAGATAAAATTGGTGAGAGATAAAATTAAAAGGGGCTTTGAGAGCAAGGTCCCCTAAAAGTGCTTTGATGAAGTGAGTCAGCCAAGTGGAAAGATCTGAGAATGTGGATGTGGCCTTCCCTCTATTGTTTCACGTGATGCAAAGTTGCTGCTAAGCAGAAGAGCCGGGCCTGGAGGAAGAGAAGCAAGCAGCCAAGGTGGACTTGGGAAAGAACTTTGCATGTGTACTGAGACATGACGCTCGGGGGCGTCAGAACAGAACAGAACTTTGCTAAGCTTTTGGAGAAGTACATTGCTGGGAAACTGGCCCTGCATTAGAAGGCTCTTTAACTACCAAGGCCCCAGACGTGTTTCAGGCCGGCAAACCTGCACCTGCAGGAGTCTGGCTATAGAGGGGAGTAGCCCTCACTGCGGAAGCCCAGGCCTTTCTGGTGCTCTCCCAGCAGGGCCTCAGAAGTGCTAAGGGCTGCACGGATGGTGTGTGGTGGTCCCCTTTTTGAGCAAGTGTTAAAATGTGCTCTTATTGTGTCCCTGCACCGCCATTGCACGTCGGGTGTATGCAGAGTGGAGTGGGGTGTGTGGAAGGGAGGACACTTTCCTCTTTAGTTTCTGGGTCACCAGGCCACCAGGACACGGAGTACTCAGTCACTGCCCGTCTTGAGCTTGGAGCTGGCCGTGGTGGCAGAGTTGGGTAAGGGTTGAGGGAGAATGAAGCAGGCACGGGGCGGTGGGGCTGCAGACCACGTAGAGACCAGCGGAGCTGATCAAAGCCTTGCCTTTGCCTTGTGCGTGCACAGCTCGTCTGCACCCTTAAAGTTAAAGGGAGCCATGGGCCTGAGTCCTGGCCAGTGGACTATGGCTGGAATCAATGGACAGTCCTTCCAGCTCTCTCTTGAGGGCCTCCCGCTGAAGGACCCTGTGGACTTGGATGGGTAGAACCACTAGAAGCAGGATCCTGTATCCCCGAACAACCCAGTGGAGCAGAGCCTCTGACATGCACTGAGATGGGACACGAGCAAGAAACAAGCCTTTATTGTATCAAAAATCTAGTAATGAGTCTTTAACCTATTGCGATTTGGGGATCATCTGCCCTCACGACTAGCCTAACTTGACCAGTCACCAAAGGGACATGCAGTGCCTCATACAGGACATGCTGGTTTCCTCTGTTGCCCTCTGATTTCCTTTCACCAAGTCCAGTTGACCTTTCCTCTCTGCAGGTTCCACATCCATGGCTTCCACTAACTGAGGTATGAAAATATTAAAAAAAATTTGCTTCTGTACTGAACGTGTGCTGGTGTTTTTCTCTTGTCATTAGTCTCTAAACAATACAGTAGAACAGTGGTCTGCATGACATTTACATTGCATCAGGCATTATAAGTAACCTGGGCAGAACCTTATATTTAAAGCATAAGGGAGGAGGGGCATAGCTTATATGCAAACACTATACCACTTTTATGGAAGGGACTTGAATATCATGGAGTGCGGTATGCAAAGGGGGTCCTGGAACCCATGGAGCCTCTCAGCCTTGGATACCAAGGGTAACTGTAATTGTAAGGAAGCTGAGGGGCTGAGAGCTTACTTCTAATTGAGCCTGGAATGCCCCCTGATGCCCCATATTGTTCTTATCACCAGAATCCAGTCAGTCACCCACTCTCACTGACTGTCTAAACACAGATCTACTACCTAACTAGTAGTCCAACATTATCACATATTACCCTGTCTGCACCTTGTCTGTGTCGTGGTTAAAAGAAATTGAGTTAATCTACTCATGGCGCTTAAATGGCAGCTGACATACAGGGAATGCTTGATAAATTTTCCCACCACCACCACCACCATCATTTGCTAGGTATATGGCTGGCACTGGGAACAACACTGAGTGAGATATGCAAGGGGTGGGCTTCTGTGACAGCTTGCACTCGTACAGTAGAGTCTACCTAAATATTTAAAGGGAAAGATTTTGCTGCCCTCCAACCTACTCCAGAAAATGCTAATTACAGTCAGGGATGTTCTTTGCATATCTGACTGTCATGAGTCACTGTCTGTGTCCCCCTTAGTGGCTTGACTCTGTGAGTACAGTTTTTGTCTTCACCTCATGCAACTGGAGTGGGAGAAATAGAGGGACGTTAAATCCCTCTTGGTGGAAGGAATCACTTCCTGTTTAGAGACACTTCCTGTTTGGGTTGACTTCCTGTTGAGAGCCACTTCCTATGTAGAGTAGAGGGATAAACAGGGCTGCCACGGTACTTACAGAAGAACACCTGCCTCCTTGTTCTGTTCCTGTTCTCAGGATGCACTGCTCAATCATCTCATTTCTGACCGAGTGCAGGCAACATTTGCAAGACCCAGGAGGTTCAGAATTCTTCCACTTCTTTATTAACCTTTGAGAATAGGAATTAAATTTATACCAGCAATGGCCTTGTCCGTACCCTACACCATTCATTTAGACACCTGGTTTACCTGTCCACCTCAGTTAACGTCCTTTTGTCCACACTGCTGGCTTGGGCTCTCTCCCTGGCACATACCCACCAAGATGCTAATTAGGCAGGCATACCCACTTGCCCTGGCATGTTTTATGGATGACACAAGCTGCAAACACCAACATGTATAAAACATATGTTCTCGTCTTTGTGTAATTTCAGATACCAAAATATGCCTACACACAGGGGTATGTGCATATAGACACATGCATATTCTTTTTTGCCTGGTAGAAAAAGGCTCCTCTGATGTTGCTTCTACTCCCACACACACCCCTCCATGGCTGGCACGCCTCCTAATTATTCCCATCTTCTCCCTCCCCATAGACCTTTTGTGTGTGTATATTTTGGCACACGCTCCTTTGGTTCCGCCTAGTTCCTTTCTGTCTTCCCTCTCTCTACCTCCTCTTCACAACTCTTAAGAAAATGTATTAAACTATATCCTCTTTATTATTAATGTACATTTATGAAAAATTCTTCACAGTTACAAAAAGTGCATGGTTATAAAATCAGTTCCATACAAAGGTTGACATCCTCCCTCCAGCCCCTCCCCCTCCCCAGCCCTCCCACAGGCAGGCCGCGGCACTTGGCAGGACGGTGCTTAGAAAAACCAAGAGCTCTTTGGATCCAGCCCTTCAACGAGTGTTCTGGCAGACACGGTGGTGGTTTACAAAAGGACCTTGCGACTTGCCTCCCTGACTTCCCTTTTGCCTTCTTCTGGGATGGGGGAGGGCAAACAAACTTCTCTAGCTTCGGAAGATATCCTTTTGAAGAATGAACAAAGGTAGCTCCTGATGCTCCTCTACCACTGGCCTGGAAGGTTAGGAGAGCGCTCCACGGAGACATGGGTGCTGTTTCTCTGGTGGTTGAAGCAAAATACCTATCTTTGTCTGTTTAAGTCCCATACAGCTAAGTCCTTGAAAGGGGCTGTGGACTGTATAATATTTCTGGGGACCTGTCTCTGCAAGGTTCCCTGGGGATCCTGTAAGCATGGAAAGAGAAGAGAGTTTGTTTGAGGGCAAGCAGAGGCAACTTGTCCAGTGTACCGTGGTACAGATGGGGCTCTTTCTTTTTTTTTTTTTTTTTTTTTTTGGTTTTTCTCCGGT